ACCTGGGTAAGCCTTTGCCTAGTTCTTGCTTTTTCTTGGTTACATGCTGAATGACCTGTTCCCAGTTGACATTTCTCCGAGATGCATTTAGAATCTGTCTAAGAGTTGGTTTGAGCCCAGATTCCTTCTCCGTCTCACTCTTTCGGTGACCACTAATGTTGCGGATACGCCGAGCATTATTGAGGTTTGGCTCAGGGAGATGAGCCCCTGTTTTGCTCTTTAAACTTATGTGCCGGGTCAAATCTCTCTGGAGAGAGGCAGGAAAGCCAGGCTTACTTAGTTCAGGCAGGATAGGGCCCGAGGGTTGACCTATTTCTGATTTTTGAAACTCTGCATCCAAAGTGGTACTCTCAAAGCCTTCTGTTGCATAAGATACATGAGATTTAGAAGAGTCATCAACCTGTGCATCTTCTAGAGAAGTTTTCAATTCTACCAATAAGCTGGGGTGGGGACTGCCCACAGACGTCATCTGTAACTCAGATTCTTTCTTGTAAACAACAGAATTACATGGAGAACTCGATTGTTTTCTAGGTGTTTTCAGAATTTGATCATCTTCTTTCTCATCAGTAGGATGAGTGCCGCAGCTTAAAACTTGTGTAGATACAGGACCCAGGGTTCCAATTTTGGGCCCATGCTTTTCAGTGTCAGATAGCTCTCCATCACTTTCATCTTCTAGTGTGTGTACTTGAAACTCAATCTTTAAGGATCCTTTTTCAGACTCTTCGACATTTCTACTTGCTTTGGCATAGCTCCTCGTCCTTTTAGAACTGGTATGTGATGATTTTTGCACTGACCCCTGACACTTTAGCACTTCTTTAGCTTTTTGTAATGTATCACCTACATTTTCATTCGGCTCCCTTCGAATACCAAAATAACTTTTATTCCCTTTAAAAACATTACGCAATTTAGATATATAGGAACCATGGTTGTTTTCTAAATTAGGCTTGTTTGAAGGATGTGAGTGTTCTCCAGGAAAAAAAGAATTCGTTTTGATGCTTTTTGAGGGATTCTTTGAATTTTGTTTTTGAGGAATTGATTTGGTACCTGGAATTGGAAGGCATACAGATTTTGGTGATGGGATCTTATTTGAATGAAGCTCTTGTTTCAGTTTTTCTGTATCTGGAGAATCTCTTACTATTTCATTGGATGTTGTACAATCAGAAGTGATTTTGTCATGGAAAGATTCTACATGTGTTTCATTTTGAGTTTTTGGCACTGAGGAATTACTTGTTTCATCAGTTTGGGCCTCTTGTCTTCCTGAATGTTTCAAGGTACAATCAAAGAAAGGCTTATCTGACTTCTCTGCTCTGCTACCACTGATGTCTTTCAACCCAATCTGTGAATCCAGAGTTTTCTGGGAAGGGTAAGGAGTCCAACGACGGAGTTTGTCCTTTGCTACACTGCCATTCTTTCCACCAATTTTGGGAGTTAGAGAATCTGCCTGTTTAATGGCTGGACTTTCCAGGTGCTCAAAATTGAAGTCAAATAATCCTTCTGAAGAAAAATTGTCATTTGCAAATCTTTCTTGAGAAGGGTATGTGGCAACTATTCCAATTTTGTCACTATCTTGCCGTTGACAATTATATCTTTCTTGATTGTATTTGTTTGGTTTGATAGATTTCTTATTCCGTACTATCGTCATATCTTCCATTTGACAGTTAGAATTTCTGTTTCTGCCTGGCGGAAATTTGTCTCCAGGGCCATTGTAATTCCAACTATTTGTACCGCGTACACTGGATTTCCAGTTTCCGTTACTACTGTTCATATGCCAACTGGAAAAGCCACCTGTTCCTTCAGAATGCCAACTGGAATTCCTTCCTGGACCATTATGATTCCAATCTACTGTTCCACTTTTTGAATGCCAACCACCTCCAGAATTACTATGGTTGTGAAACCAACCTGCGGAGCCTCCTCCCATACCCTTATGCCACCCAGAACATCCTCTTTGTCCACCACTGTTTCTTGAAGAATGTGGAAAGTTATTTTTCCTAGAATTATTAAAGCCGTCTTTCTCCCATTTCCAACCCCGCTGAGGAGGTACACGATGGTGCCATGCTGGCTGACTGTAATTATCTCTGTCTTGGTAAGGGAATCGGTCTTCTCGTCTCCACTGGGGTCGTCTGTCATCAGGGTTTATTTCTTGGTTGCCAATGGAGGCTTCATCTTGTC